TGTTTTCTTTCACCTTGATAATTTTGCCAAAATCATTTTGCTAAATGGAAAAACATGGTGTTATTTTCTTCCACCCTTTTCGGGTGAATGTTCAAAATATAGTTTGCTAAACCCGGTATAAAAAAGTCTTGCCTTAGTGGATTGACATGATTAGGAAACCGATTGTCGCGACGCAACTTGGATTTGAACATACAAGCACTTTTTTTCCAATGACTAGAATTATACATTATAGGCCTCTACCCAATGTTCCAAACCCATTAACTATGTTTTTCTTTTCGACAACTCTGACCTATTCAAGTAATTTTATAAAGCTTTACTGTTAATTCCAGGTCAAATCTGAGAAACTCAAAACCTGTAAGTATGCACTTGCGATTTAATGCTAAAAACTCAACAACTGTTCATACCTCTCAATTAATGATGTGGTAAACGAAACACTTGGTTTCACCTGGAAATAATCAGATGTAATGAAACCTCCAGAGGGTGATGTTTGAAATTAGATACACAAGAACGTCTCCTATAGGTTAATAACCTCCTATCATTATTTTACAGTACCACCAGAGTGAAAAAAAAACATGCAAAACGAAACTTTTTCAAAACGCATTTATTTAGTGGCACGCATCCATTTTTTATTTACTTGCAAATAAGTTACAGTAATTCTGGAATTTTTTAATATGCCTACAAGAATTGAAAGCAATTCATTAATATAAAATTACTATAAAAGCTGTATAGAGTGCTCAAATAATATTAGCCCTAATTATTGTAGTACAGTATTTTATCACAACTAATGAAGTAAAAAGAAAAACAAACCAGTGTAATAAAACTGTTAAAAACTAATTGCATAAATCAGAGTTACAAGTCAAGTCTAGAATAGTTTAATTTAACTTTTATTAAAAAATTATCAATTGATGTTCTTAGTGTCATCACATTATATTTAATTTATTTAGGGATCTAGAAATGATAAAGTATCATTAAGGCTATATAATAATTATTCTTTACATGCTCCAAAGTGAGATACACTAGTGAAAGCTTTAACCAATCCTGCGGTCAGTTTATTCTATCTGTATTTACTTCAAAAACTAAAAGTTGAGTGATATGAAAAAAAAAATGTCAACTAATGAACATGTTTCATGTTACTAGATGGTGTTTACATTAAGAAACAGATGTGAAAAATTACACCTAATATCCAATTGAAAGGCCAATAAAATCTTGTCCAGTTTAGAGACATGATTTGATCCCTTGGGTCCAGTGTGCTACATAGTGGTCAAGAATTTGCTGCTAGGGTTAGTTGATATGTCTCTTTAAATTATCCATGAACCATGATACATATACTGTACATCATGACACCTCAGCAAAGACTTTCAGGCCTGTATTAAATATATGAATTTCTCCTTCATAAACTACCTAGAGATTACTGTATTATTAAAGATATAAAGTTACTTTATTGTCTATTATACTTAGTGGAGAAATTATACATTGAAATGAAATCCTTAGGAATGCAAAAAATATATATAAATCTGATACTAGTACATTACAATGTGATAATTTATACTTTTTTAAGTAGAAAGTATAGGAAAAATAATAACAGAAACACATACAAGACATACTATATAAACATTAAAATCATTGTAGTTGTCTGTTGTGTAGACCTAAAACATATGTAACCATTCAGAAAAACCTATTTAAATCTAATAACTGGTTTATAAAACGTTGATCATAGCCATGGATTTATACATTTCATTCACAGAAATGTTCCTGTTATTGTAATCATCAGATCATTACAATTTGTCATCTGTTTCCTATAAAAGTTCAAGGCCTTGTGAAATATTTGATTGCATCCCAATTGCCAACATTCAAGTGCTGTGATGAGGATGCCAACCTAGCTTTTGTACTATTACAGAATTGGCAAGTCCAGTGGCCAAGCGGTAAGGGCTCAGTGCCACTAACTACAGCCTTAACATTGGCACCTGTTCAAGACACTCGTCCATGGTTTCTTAATTGTAACAAATATTTGGTTAAGGTTGTAAAAAACTAACAGTCCCACATGGCTTATGTGCACTTTAAGGAACCTATTTCATCTTTCAGAGAGTAGGTTACAGCCTTGTCTTGTAGAGTGATGTGAACATGAAGCCACTATAGGTCTGTCCACATGTATATGACAAATAAATGTGATATGCTTATTTGGGTATAATATGGCATCATCTTGCCCATAATATGGGCACATCACACAAATCTTTCACAAAAAATTGATAGTACATGTGGATAGAACTTAAACACCTCTACTCCTCCCTCCCTTTCCTTTTCTTTCTCTTTTGTGAAGGCCCAATTCCCTGTTCTGCCTCCCCTTGGATATTCCCCTGGTCGCCCTCATTTCTTGTGTCCTTGTGAAAGACACTTAATCTACCTTTACTTCTCTTCACACAGGAGATTTACAACTACCTGGTAGGAGGTGAGTGATCTTAAATGAAATAAAAAGTACAGAATTACACACATACTAGGAATACTCCGCAGGGAACAGAGGAAGTCCACATTGTGCATTATTGATTTTGTATCCAATGACTAGGGAAAAAAGCTCCTTGAGTAATTCTTTCTGAAATAGGTATGTACACTACATAAATAAAATAAAATAAATCAGCCTATCCCAATAAAAAATACAGACTAGTATTTGTAATTTTAATACAGAAGATAAGATAAAACATAGACGTAGTATGAACAAATTAAACATCCATATTTAATTAACTGATTTTACTGTATATAGATTTTTTGTGTTAGTTTGAATATACGAAATATTCCATCTTCTTTGGAAGTGATTTTTAACCTTGCTAGTGTTCAAATACAATATGGAGTCAAATAGAGGATATTAGGTAGTTTTCGCCGCACGACGTTAACCTTAACGTTAACGGACAACGTAATAATTTATTCATTTTGCGTTGCGGAGTACGTTAATTTCAGGATTTTACGTGCTCGACGTACGTTAGTTACGGGTTTGCGCATGCGTATTTTGATTTGTTTACAAAAGGGCGGAGTTATCGCGTTGTATGTTGGTTACTTACGTTAAAGTTAAGGCTAATGTCGTGCGGCGAAAACTACCTAATAACTACATTGATTAATGTACAGGAAAAGCAAGCAAACAGTTTATTTTACAATCAAATTGAGCTTTAGAGGATGCTGGCTTTTTCAGCAAAACTCGACATCACTTCTATTTATTGTTTTGATGTTCAAGTCTGTCCTACTTGTTGTAGTTAATAGTAAGCCTTTTAACAACTTAATTTCGCAGTTCAGTTTCTCAACTGCAATGAATTATTTTGTGTATATATTTGATTTTAATGTGAATAAAGATACCAACATATATTGTATTGGAACAATGTTCCCGCTGGTTCTATTTCTCTCCACCTTTACTATTTCATCCTCATATTTAATATACATAACAATTTTCTTTTTTGTTTCTATTTGTAAACTTCTGTTTGAAGAAAATATTGCATATAATACAAACAATATACTGTGTGAATTATTCTAGATTCCGTTGGCTGCTTATGATTTAGTACAATCCGAAAGGCACAAAGGTTCCTTACACAAAACCCATGAGACCAGCCCATGAGGTATCCTGGTTTATCCATTTAGTTCAATTTGATTTCCGGATAATTGGAACAAATTTAACCAAACATGACATCAAAATGCTTCCTTTGCTCTCTAGACAATATAAAAGAAGAGTGATACACATTGAAAATATATGGCAAGCCTACCATCTGCAGTAACCCTTAAAATTCAATAATAATAATTATAATAATTTATTTGAACGTACACTTTTGTATTAGTGGCACACGTCAGTGACGGAGCGTTCAGAAACTACAAATACTAAGACTTAATAAATTAATTACGATACAAAATCATCAATTTAACATAAAAGCAATATAACGATGGTAGTAAAACAAAAGAATGAAATTACTCATTTAAAGGAAGTTCAGTTTTTTTCAATTTTATTTTTAAGGTGTTATAAAATTTGAAGAAACACAACAGCCTGCAAAGAAAACACCTAACTTTTTTTGCACCATATTGCAAGGCCGAGTAACTACAAATCAGTCATTACAGTATGATACAGCTGTTTGTGAATGAGTTTTATAGGTTTAGACATGGTTTAGAGTATATTTTCTTTATCTCCCATCTAGTTCTTAACACCCTCAAGGTTGCTTCAGGGTAAAGTGAAATAATGTATTTAACCAAATAATAATAATACTGTAATAATAATATTATTACTTATTAAGTAATATTTCTTATTTGAATAAACCAAATGTAAGAACACTGATTTACATTTTGTGGTAGCAGGCTTTACTAATATAAAGAAAAGACAAACTTTCATCACTGCTGAGCGCTCTCCTTGCATAGTGACCAATAAACAAAGAAAGGCCAAGCATCAGGAAGCAAGAACTCAACTGATGAAAAACATTATAGAAAATTTTATAATGAACGGCTAATGACCAGTTCATCCCAGACATCTGCAAGTAGTTCATCCCAGATTCGAGGAAAACATACGGAGACTTAATTGAATAACATGGGTTTGAGTGAGTTTGTGTTTCAGGTGGAGGTTTTGAGACTAAAAAAAAGACTGAGATTGTGTCTGATGTACATAATTTGTTTTATACTGTTAAAAAGTATTTTATAATCTTTTTAATTTAGGTCCTATATATAAGTTTAAGAATGATTTTTAATTATTCTGTACTTTATAGCCATATAAAGTATAAAAGTATCATCTTTTCATCCATATTTATTCAATAAATGGATAAAAATAATTGAAAACATTAAACAATATACTATTAATTTGAACATAATTACTTTTCTTTATACTGTATTTGAATATGTTTATGTTGCATTTAAAACTATTGCAAGCAAATACTTTAATATTATCTTGATTTCCTTGTGCCTTCCAATCAAATGTAGAAAATAAAGTGGCAATTTAAGTTTTCCAAGCCGTGCTATTTATTAAAAGGTTGATACTCAGTACTTACCAACTTAAAGTATTCTCCTAACAAACAAGTAACAAAAGTTATTTATGTAATCCAAGATATAAAAATCCCTAAAAGAGGAACGTTCTTGTGATAGTATAATTAGTAAAATCAAAAGTAATCGCAGTGGTCAAGAAGCGCATATCAAGTAGGCCTACTTTTCATATTGATGTAATCATCCAAGCACTACAGTAAGCTCCTGGCATACTAACAAGGAAGGTGAAATGACACCTCTTCTCACACTGCCTTACTTTAGCCACTTGGACTCTTCCATTATTTGTTAAGGGGAGATATTGCAAAACTTTAAAACAAACTCAACATGGTTCTAAACAGTAGCTCATGAAGCTACAGGATCAATTCACTATAATTAGATTATCAAAGTGTGAATAATACTTACTTCATCCATTTCTTGATTTAAAGGGTAATTTATAAAGGGATGTACTGACTATAACCTTGACAAGAATTTTTTATTCACATCAATTAGCTAATATAGTTCGTTTGGTTTTCTAATTAACTTAGAACTCTATGGATTCAATTCTTGTTTGAGAGGGTAATTTAGTAATTTAATCAGTGTATGCATCAGGGAGGTGCTGTAAATGTTATGGAAATAATATATCGAACATTTCAAAGTAAGTTTATAAATATGAGTAGGTATGTTGTTATTTATGTTAACATTTTTATAATAACTTACATAATTTTCTGGACAGATGTTTTTTTTTATATTTTCCTTGTCAATACAAGTACAAATTATATGTGGATAAGTTAATTACTCATTAAAAAAAATACATAGGCCTATAATACAATGTGAAATATTTGTTCATGATTCCCCCACCCCCTTTCTTTTTAGAAGAAATAAGTATTAGGTGAATGGGTGTGATGTTGTGTGACTAATACTTAATTCATATGAGACACTGTTATATAGAACAAATTTAATTCTCCTGCCCTGGGTATATCATTATCAGCATTTAGCATAAGATTACACAAAGCAGATATGAAACACTTTCACCCAAAATATACATGAAGTTGTCATATGTAACAGTTTGTTTTGGGTATTCTGGTAACATGATACATGTTATTCTTAGTACAGTAGATAGGTGTGGTATAAATTATATAGTGTTACTGTACAAACTTTTTAGGTGTGGTATGTATGGGTGTGGTGTGGCTTGGTGAACTTTGGTGTAAATAGGTGTGGTACAAATGGGTGGGTATAGTGTAGCTTAGCTTTGATAGTAGGCCTACTGTTGGTATTAGTATGGTATGCTTGTGGGACTTATGGTGTGAATGGGTGTACTAAAATAAGAATAATTCTGAGGCCCTAGACTTTTGTCATGAAGTTTTGGTTGCTTTTGGAGTCCTTGGCATTGTTTTCTGAATACAGGAATGAAATGAAGTTTTTTAGATCGGTTGGTACCATGATAATGGTATCTGACATGGGCGAGGGGGGGGGGGGGTCAGACTTAAAATATAGGGGGTCAGGCTTCAAATTGTACACTTATTTGACCCCTTTCACACTTCCCAATTTGCTTTGCATGATACCTTTTATCCTTTCTAATGTACGGTTAAATTGTTTCTTTGAAGTGTGAAGAATCTGAGAAAATGAGATGAAATACAGTATATTTTATTTGATTCATTTAAACATAATAAAATGGATTTAAAAGATTTAGGAGCAGCTAAGTACTATACAATAACTAGATCATCTATCAGCTGCTCTTTCAGGAATTGTAGAGTCTAATGGAAAAGATTTGTAACATATCACTTTGCTTAGTAAACAGCACGAGGATAGGAGACAAGTGTAGATTTTAAGTAATAAGACATAAAAGTCACATCATCCGATGCTTTAGATCTGACCCCTCTGTGTATGACCTGCTTTTGTGGGTTTTAGGGAAATGACATGATTCGGCAGCTCCATTAAACCTGCTTTATAGACATTTGTGAATAAAATAAGGAGATTATAGAGAGGGTATATCAAGGAAGTGTGATGATGAGTAGGATATCACTGTGCGATGGCAAGACAAATTGGACAAGATTGTAGTAGTGTCTAGAGAGTGGAAATGATGTCCAGGTACTTATGTCATTTTGATTACAACACTGAAATGTCAGGGCTAAAAGAAGCATAATTAATATTTCCATGAGAAACCCACCCTAGTCAAGAATTGAGACGCCCGTGCTTACCACAGATAATCATGTATATAATAACTTAAAGATTATTACCTATGAAAAATCTTGAAAATCAATTTTGAAACTGACTTGACAAAAATTTCAACAGGAACATAAAAATTAGTGTTAGCCTTTTTTCTTTCTATATTCAAGTTGATAATATATGGGCAAGTTATTTAAAAATTGATTTTTTATTATTTTTCATGGGACTATATTTTTAAAATGCTGTCTACAATTGTTAATGCCATTGGAAACAAATGCATGATAAATGTTTCCATCTGAAACTTACTCCAGTTAAGATAAACATTCCATGTTTATCTCAATCATGTTAAAATAAGGCAAGCCATACAAACTTGACAAACTTTTTTTGATAAAAGAGGGCGCCATTCCCCTAATGGGAAATGGTTGTGATGCAATCATTAATTCCTTTTCCAGTACCCTTGATTTTTGCCACTCTTTAGAATTCTCCTGACTACTAGATGGGGAATAGACAAAATGCATTGTGCAAAGCTGCTCATGATAATTATTATATTTTCACTCGGTGTACCTGTAGATTGCTACTAAATTATATAAAGTTTTTGTCTACTAAAAAATTTACTTAAATCTGTTCTTTACACTGGTTCCTTTTCAAGAATTCTACTGTTCTCTATGTACTGTAGCCCAGTTGCTTTATCAACTAAGTTCACTGTGACTCGCTCAGGTTTTTCACATGTTATCAACATGATTAAAATTCTGCTTAAAGTCAATATTTTTAGGGTTTGAGTTTTTGTTACACATAGCAACTCCAACTTGTATTCCGTTTTAGGTTGTCATTCAGATTTGAAACTCAAAGTGCTTTATAAAACACAGTTACCATAAATTATATATATATATATATATACCTTAGAAAGTTTTCTAATCTATAAAAAAAAAAAACATAGTACTGGTAAGTGAGTGTGGATGGTCAAATTTATCAAGCTTTCTGCAGTCAAATATGTTTGTTTACTGAAGCATACATTATGCATGTTGTTATAACTATAGGTTACAGTTATATTTTGACAGTCTTGAACGTAGCATATCTATTCAGCCAAATTCAGTCGATTACAACCGCAAAATATATGAATTAAGAGGCAGTTAAAAGCATATATTCATAATAGCTGATATCTTTACAATATTGCTTGAGTTAGAGGTTAAAGACTTAGGATTGTGGTTTTATCCATAAATTTGTAATATACAAGAGGGATGTCGTATTCTCTTGGTAATTTTTATATTAATAAGTCTGACTATAGTTTGTTTTTATTAATATTGAGAGTCCACATATGGCTTGTCATAGAAGTTAGAGAATTCAGCCTGAAAAGCCTCCAAAGTTGTAGCTTGTACAAGTTTAAAACAATAATTATTATATTTATTTTTGGTATTTCTGTGCCAAACAAGATACACTCGCAAAATCGAAGTACATGTAACATGCTGGTTTATTTTGATATACACATATCACATTGGAATGCAGTTCTGAGGTTTTCACATGCAAAGACATGTTTTTTATGCCAAAGGAATAGGTTTGTTATTGGATAATTACTGACTTGGTATGGTCACCAAAGCAGGTAGTCTATGGTATCCAACAGGCAAAATAATGTAGTCATTGTTCTCAGTAACATAGATACAAATCATCCACAGATGTCCTGAAATACAATAATAATATTTGCAACTTCCACTTAATAAGTTGGATTCTAGTTTGTCAAAATTGTGACTTTACCAACTTTAGCTAAGAACTGATTGGCCAATATAACTTTGTTAATTATCTGATTGGTCAAACATACCGGAAACTTAGCCAATTAGCTGATTGGTCAGTTGCAATGACTTGATAGATTAATAGATAGTTTGTTAATTTAGAATATAATGATGTATTATGTGATAAATATGGGAAAAATTTAAGAAATTTTTAAAATTCTCATTAGATGATCAAATAAGTTATTTACTTCTTGAGTTGTAATTTTCAATTAAAAAATTATATACAATCGTCCAACAGGAACTCTTCGTTCCACTTACATGCGAAAATTGCAATAAACATCAAAAATATAATCAATACAATAAAATCACAAGATATAAAAAGATTATTATTATTATTGTTATTGCTATGATTATAATTAATATTGCTATATTTACAATAAATATGTAAATTACAGAAAATTATTTATAATTACAATTAAAATTATGTTTAAATAACACTTAAAAGTATATAATAAACACTTAAAAGTATATAATATAAATATATATTCTTTTTTTTAGTTCATAGACTGTAGGCTACATCTTCAGCAGCTAATTCTTGGCCCATGTGCCTAACTCAATATAAAATAAAAGTATATAATATAAATATATTTTCATTTTTTTTTTGTTTGTTCTTCATAGACTGTAGGCTACATCTTCAGTAGATGACTCAAATTTTATTCTTTAGCATTTCCCACTTTAAATGTCTTCAGCTAACCACAAATTTACACCCATCATCCTGTGAGTAAATTTACTGAATTTTGGATGGCACTAAAGTTTCCAAATTTACGCTAATCTTTAGTATTCCTTATTTTTTTTTTCTTTTTGTGCTAGAACACCTAGAATTGAAGGGGGTGGGGTAGGGTAGTCAGACACATTGGCTGGAGCATAAAAGTGTTTAATTCCAATCAGTCATCTCCATTTGGACATCTGACTGTTTCTGATCATTTTCACATTCTAATTTTTTTATTTTATTTTGAGGGAGTAAAGATTCCACACACCCTACATGTACCCCTCCTGAAGTGACAAAATTTACACTAAATACAGAAAATCATAACGGTTGTTTGTCTATCACTATTCAGTCCAGGAGACAACTGTGGAAATCACTCAACATTAGCATGATATGTAGCAAATGTTTCACTGGACACGCTTGATTATTTTTTTTCTCTTATGCAAATAATCAGTCCATTTAACTATTCCATGTCCTCGATATATAATAATTCTGAACAGTGTAGACCCGGTTATCAATGCAATACCGCGTGTCCTGGGATTTTATGACAAGCTGATGGCTTGAAATAACCCATTTTCT